CTCAAGGGAGAGGAGGAGGCATTTGCAGAGAATACAACCATGCCAGATTCATAACGATAGGTTCATTTTGCACCCACAGCAAAAAAATAGGAAAACCATATAAACTCGTAACAAAACTTGAAACTTCAGACTTCAGAAGTTCACAGGCCTTCTACAGAATCACCCAAAGAAAGCGTTGTCTGGGATCAAACAGGATGGGCATGCTAGAACAAAAATCTTACTGAACCCTTTAAACAAAGCCAAAGAAAAGCCCTGTGCAAAGCAGGGTTGTTGTCAGAACACACCAAGCACAACACTCGGGCTCTTAAACAAAGATCGAGAAAAACCCTGGATCTCAGCAAGCCCATCACATCACCCCTGTGTCATCTCCAAGTCGCGAGTCCGGAAACAACGGTAGTTTAGTTATGAAAACCCTGCTTTGGTGCAAAAACGAAATGGTCGCCGAACCTTGGGCGCCTGTGAGGAACAGGGGACAAGAGTTGGGAAGGTCTTTAACTAATGCAAAAGCCTGGGCTTTGCGTTAGTTAGCTTTAGCCTGGGTTGATTTTCCGTGTTTCTGGGCTTCTTGAGCAAATCGAGCTGAATTCTTCTAATGATGCGACAGACGCGTTGGTTGTCGGTTGGTGGTTCTCACCATGTTTTTACCCAGCCGCGCCCCCAAACGGACCGTAGAACTTTCGACATTTTATTTGTGAAGGTAGAGATGATCTAGATGCCTTAAAAGACACTGACGTTGTTTTAGTTTATACTGTCCTCACAGTCGTATGAAGGTTTCTACTTTCGTGTAACATGTCAGAGTCATAGCTACATAAGGCTTTCAAATGAACTTACGTATTCGGAAACCGTCAAGACCCCCCCAAAAGCCATGAAGGCCAACGATTGACCAGGGGAGAGGGGCACTCCGGAACCTGGCAATCAGCCAAGACCCCAAAAAGAGCCATGGGCCATCGACCGACCGACGGGGAGGGGCACTCCAAGACTCGGCAGGGTTGGGGTTTGCTTTCTTGTTTTTGGTATAAGACAACCAACCCGAATGGCCCAAGATAAACAAATTAGATTGGTTACCCACTCAGAATCTGAGCTCAATTTAACCCACCAAACCTCATTACATTCCCAGGCGCTCCGCTCCAGACTGACACGAATCTCTCAACTTCAGACGGTACAGTGGCCCATGTCGAACTGCATGCCTTGCACACGCAAAGTACCTCCAGCGCCAATGTGACAGCGCAGAAACGATGTCTTTGCATGTCTTGGCAAAGGTTCCTGCTTCCAATAGCCTTGATCTAGATTGGAATCCGGTGCCCATGATTCACCAGTTCCTATAGCTCTCGTAATACAATTGGTAAAGAGATCGCCAAGTGGCTAGCTGTCGTGAGGACCCGCCACATGATGCAAAGCAAATGCAGCACGACCGGACCATTGTGCTTGTAAAAGCAGAGCCAGCGATGCGCCTAACACTTCTGTAAGCTTTGTGCTTGTCTGATTCAAGTGGATGAAGGCTCAACCACTGCAGCAATTGTAAGGTTGGATGCAGTTGGGTCTTCGATTACCAAAGCAAGTTTGACCTTACTTTGAATTTTAAATTGTCCCTCTGTTTCACTTTCTCTTTGGGGGGTCTTCGCCTTCATCTCAGATCCGTTCGTGGAGGGTCTCCACAGCTGCCATCGACCCCGGGCCAACGGCTTTCTCGGAACGGCAGCAGCGTCCCAGCAGCGTCCCCACATCTTATCTCGGAACGAACACCAACGAAAAAGCGTTCGTTCGGTGCGTTAGGTGCGTTTTTCTGTGCGGGCATGGGTCACACCCATGGGTTTCTTTCCAACCCGAGGCAAGTGCCTTTTCTGAGAACCCATCCATCCGCTGACCAAACCTCACCCACCTCAACCCTGAAGTCACTGAAGTCCGTCCGTCCCCTTTCGCCCCTTCGATTCAGATCGACCTGCTCGTCCCAGCTGTTTGCAATGGCTGTGGCAGCATAAACATATTGATTCAAACCTTCATGCGATTAAGAGTTCATCTATTTTTTACATTGTCAATTGTGATTTTCAAAAGCTCGTAGAAGTGGTCATCTGAACAACCCTGTTATAGGACACTCTTGTGGGACACTCTTAAGGGGCACTCTTGTGAGACACTCTTGTCGGACACTGTTGTGGGACACTCTTGTGGGACACTCTTGTGGGACACTCTTCCGTGACACTCTTACGGGACACTCTTGTAGCACACTCTTGTAGGACACTCTTGTGGGACACTCTTGTGGGACACTCTTGTAGGAAACTCTTGTGGTATACTCTTGTGGGACACTCTTGTAGGACAGTCTTGTGGAAGACTCTTGTAGGAAACTCTTGTGGGACACTCTTGTAGTACACTCTTGTGGGACACTCTTGTAGGACACTCTTGTTGGACACTCGTGTGGGACACTCTTGCAGGAAACTCTTGTAAAACACTCTTGTGGGACACTCATGCGGGACACTCTTGTGGGACACTCTTGTGGGACACTCTTGTAGGAAACTCTTGTGGGACACTCTTGTAGAACACTCTTGTGGGACACTCTTATAGGACACTCTTGTGGGACACTCTTAAGGGGCACTCTTGTGAGACACTCTTGTGGGACACTGTTGCGGGACACTCTTGTGGGACACTCTTGTGGGACACTCTTACGTGACACTCTTGTAGGACGCTCTTGTGGGACACTCTTGTAGGACACTCTTGTGGGACACTCTTACGGGACACTCTTGTAGCACACTCTTGTAGGACACTCTTGTGGGACACATTTGTGAGACACTCTTGCGGGACACTCTTGTGGGACACTCATACGGGACACTCTTGTGGGGCACTCTTGTAGGACACTCTTGTGGGACACTCTTGCGGGACACTCTTGTAGGAAACTCTTGTGGGACACTCTAAAGGGCCACTCTTGTGGGACACTCTTGTAGGACACTCTTGTGGGACACTCTTGTGGGACACTCTTGTAGGACACTCTTGTGGGACACTCTTATGTATGGGACACTCTTGTAGCACGCTCTTGTAGGACACTCTTGTGGGACACACTTGTGGGACACTCTTGTGGGACACTCTTGTGGGACACTCATATGGGACACTCTTGTAGGAAACTCTTGTCGGATATTCTTGTAGGACACTCTTGTGGGACACTCTTGTAGGACACTCTGGTGGGACACTCCTGTGGGACACTCTTGTGGGACACTCTTGTGGGACACTCTTGTAGGAAACTCTCGTGGGACACTCTTGTAGGACACTCTTGTGGAACACTGTTGTGGGACACTCTTGTGGGACACTCTTGTGGGACACTCATACGGGACACTCTTGTGGGACACTCTTGTGGGACACTCTTGTAGGACACTCTTGTGGGACACTCTTGTGGGACACTCTTGTGGGACACTCTTGTACGAAACTCTTGTGGTATACTCTTGTGGGACACTCTTGTAGGACACTCTTGTGGGACACTCTTGTAGGGCACTCTTGTGGGACACTCTTGTGGAAGACTCTTGTAGGAAACTCTTGTGGGACACTCTTGTAGGACACTCTTGTGGGACACTCTTGTGGGACACTCTTGTAGGACACTCTTGTGGGACACTCTTGTAGGGCACTCTTCGTACGAGACTTCCTCCAAAAAGTCACACGTCAAGTCTCCAAAACGAGCGTTTCGTACGAGACTTCTTCCAAAAGTTGCGTGCCAAGTTTTCAAAACGAGCGTTTCGTACGAGACTTCCTCCAAAACTCACATGTCAAAGTCTGCAAAACGAGCATTTCGTACGAGACTTCCTCGCAAAGTCAAGCGGAAACACCCATCGGAGCACACACATCACGCAGCCCTGCCAAGCAGTTTCGCGAGTCCAGTCCCTCCAAACAATACCCGCTCACACGCCAATCCCACTGTGACAGCGACATTCCCCCCTACCACAACTCACAACCTTACAATTCCCTGCGCCTGCCACGAATCTTTCCGCATCCACACGTCTAACGCGCACAAAGTACTGCGCCTGCCACGAAATGTCACCTCCGTCACACTTCGCAACCTCACCATTCCCTGCGCCTGCCACGAGAATCGCACTTCCACGCCTCAAAACCCACACAAAGTACTGCGCCTGCCACGAAAAGTGGCAATATCATCTCGTGTCAGCTTCAACAAAATTTGCACCACACCACACGTTTGGAATGATTTCGACCCGTTCTGAGCACACTCCCATCCACCAAAATCGCCACTTCAGCTCAGACTGGTCACGAAAACAGAGCTTCGATGCCACACCCTGAAACGCAAATCCCAATGGCACGGCCACATCCAACACCCCAAAAACACGACTCTCCAAACGCTAATCCCAATGGAACTGCGTAGCAAACTGAGGATCTCACAAAACGCTGCGCCTGTGCAGCGAAATGCATCACGCTTCTTGCGCGACATGTCATTTTCATGCAAATCACAATGGAATAGCGTCGCAAACTGACACGTGACACATCCATGAAAAGTCACTTGCAAAAGCTTCCCCCAATGGCAGCGCCTTAGCGCTCTACCGCGAATGGTTGCGGACGGTTGCGGACGGTTGCGAACGTAGAAACAACGGATGCGAACAAGGCTCTACCCCCAGACCCCCAAGAGTTAAACGAGAACCCTTCGCTACGCATTCGGGAAAAAGCATGAAACATATTTGGAACATGTGGGTTTGGTACCTGGAAAGGGGTTGACTTGGTCCGCTGTGGTGAATTCATGGGAGCTGAATTCAACCATTGAAGCTACTGGAGTTGGTCTGGAGAATCTGGAGCTGTCTCAATTTTCCTTTTTCCTTCTAACGCCATCTCTCTAATGCCTTCTACTGCACCCCAGGATCACGCCTCGCTGTCAAGTCAATTTTGTCCTACGCTGTCTTGGAATCCCCAAAAAGCGTTCCCCAAATCCCTAAGCCTCCAACCTACTAGAGATGGCCTTCAACCTAGTTCTGATCGTGGCCCAAACACCTGATGTCACCACCCACTGCAGCCAAGGCTGCAGGCCAGCAATGTGCCCTGGAAGCATCCCACCTTGAGAAAGGTCTGCAATTTCTCACGAACCAACACCCGCGACACCCACTCTTTTCTTTCTGCAAGATATTGGATTATTGTTTTGTTTGTTGAGTGATTTCAAGCTATAGCTCGCCTAAGTGGATCAAGTATAAATGTTGCAACACCATGAAAAGCAAATCTTTGCCAATCAACGGAGTTGGGACCAATCTACTGAGTCTTAGTGTTCCCGAGTTCCGCTTTTTCATTCCAAGTGGTGAGAAGGTGTTTGAAAGGGTGGATGTTTCTTCAACACCAAACTCAGAAGTAACACCTATACCTATACTAACTACATGAAATGACCCATGACTCCACCACCGGCTCGTTCGTTTCACGCATTCGCTCCAGGTGGCTGTAGGGTGTCTCGACGTCCCTGGTGATTAAGGTCACACGGACCCCAGGAAGTGGTTCCATGCCGAGCATTCCTCGCCGAGCATTTCGATTTCGATATCGAAGTGTCAAGAAGCATAGCTTATAACCATTGGACCATAGCTTCCCACAATTTCACTGCAACAAAGATATCTCATGTCATCTTCTAACGAATCGGTTTCAGTAAGTCAGCGAAACACAGCAAAATATTACCATCTCCAAACCATATTGGGGCAGGCACTTTCATGGAGGCGAAGGAACTTCTTCAACTTAGCAGCTGGCGGCATCGATCGATTGTTGCACGACAACCGCATGAAAAACAACTTGGTGATTGGAAACCCATCCAATCTTTAACATCAACTGCGCTGTGGCCACCTCTCCTCCCTCCAGGCCCCTCTTTTTGTGGACGAGGGTCGCAAGACATTCACGTGAGAATGGCCGCCACCCACCAAAACCAAATCTTTGGCAATGGGCGTCCGTTCCCAGTCCTTCTATCGATTGGAAACGTGCCGTTCTCAAACGTGCTGTGTTTTTTTACGTGGTAATACTTTGCATGTGCCAAGGTTGAGGGGTGCCCGTTCTTATGAAAAGAATATTTATATAGGTTAGAGGCCATCGCGAACGAAGAAATGATGACGTCTTGCCCGTCGGAGTTGTAGCTGTTGCAAGGTGCCCCCCAAATCTCGGAACCAATCTTTCGGTGCAACGGACATGCTGGCTGCCGCATCAGACGCGGTCATCTGACAGCCGAAGGCCCAAAGGAGCTCCAGAAGTAACAATATGTGCAATGCTGAGAGGGCATTCACCAATATCAAAGTAATTTACATCATCCTAAATCTTACAGTAGCTGATCATTTTTGCTCCCTCAGCATTTCGAAAAAATCCTGGTCGTCCTGCTGCAGTTCCAGCTGCCTTGGCACCTCTTCAAACAGCCGCTGCGCCCGCTGCAGCGTCGCTTTCGCCACTGCGATGTCCGCCGCACGGAAGACGAGGCCCGGTAGGTGCTGCATGTGGTGAACGCCTTGCGAATTCGATTTCGACGTTGCCGAAGTGCTTCGAGATGAAGACCGAACACCGTTTTCGCTTTGTTTGGCCGAGTTGATGTGTGTTCTTGGCAATCCATCTCAATCATGCCCTGGACTCCAGGGCCTCTTGGTTGGGCCTCTGTGTAATTTCAACTTGGACCTCCACTCATGGCACTGCGCCCACTGTGGCTTGTCACTGCGCCTGTGGTGATGCCCCAACCTGCGCCCTGGCGCCTCGCATCACGGACGTCGAAATCAACAATCAACGCCACCCTGGAAGTCAAAGACTATAAACATATATTCTAAAGGACCTGAAAGGGAATTTCCTTTACTTAGGAAAGTATGGTCTTTGGACTTCTAGGGAACATGCAATTAATCATTTTGATGGTGCTTTGCCATTTGGAGATACAAACCTTTGGACCAATATACTTGATCTGGACATCCCTGCCACAACTCTTACTCCCAATTTCATATATGCTTCCTTCATGAAGCACGTGCAGGGCCATTCTCAGTCAACATTGGATTGTTGCGGGGATTTACATGGTTTCCCACCCTCTGTTGATTGATTTTCAATTGTTGAAACAAAGCCTGTGGCACCATCGACCTCGGACAGAGGCGCAAGAGGGAAGCCATCCGGAACCCTCCGCCGACTCCTGATGGCCTCGCCACATCAATCTGGTGAAAGCGCTCCAAACCTCAGCTGGCTGATGTTCTTCCATGTGAACATATAATTAATAGGGAGTCTTGCAATGAATCGGGCACAGTATGCTTGAATGATGTCTCGGAAGATATCCTTTGATCTGCCTCTTGCAGATGGGTCATTCTTTCAGGGGAGGCAGTGTGCTGTACCGTTCCTAGTTCCTCACCTCCTTCCAAATCCCTCAGTTTGAGAGGCTGGAATGCCCACACAATCCATTGGGCGATTTCCCTGCCAAACCAGACAGAGAATACTGAAGCATGGACAGCTCTTGGAGATCACCACTCCCATACCTGGATCTTCCAACGCAAACTTGCACCAGACTAGTAACAAGTGCATCGCTACTCGTAGCAAGAAGCTACGAGTAGCGATGCACTTGTTCCTAGTAGCGATGCCCTTGTTACTAGTAGCTTCTAGTCCAAGTTCGACATTTCGCGCGGCGCAGGCGCCTAAAATCGCCCGGAGCTCCATGACCCGCGCCAGCCGCTGCCGCCAGGTGAGCTCTGCCGTGCCATCCTCCAGGCTCGGCCAAAGCACCTGCGGTCGGACGGGAGTCCGGACGCGTGGACAGGTGGGGTCTGTGGACGGGTGGACGGGTGGGGAGACTTCTTGGCAATGTACCTGGCATGGGGAGACTTCTAAAAGCAATCTAGACTAGACCTTTCTTCCTTTTTTTCTTTTTCTTTGTTTCTAATAGCGATGGCCTCAAACCTAATAGCGATGGCATGGGGAGACTTTTGGAGATGAGAGTTGGAGACTTCCTCGAGGGTTGCCCATCTGGTGAAGTGCTTGGGACTAGCCGGAGTTTCCTTGGCGCAAATGTGAACAGCATAGTTCCTGAATGAGTGTGGCCAAACAACGTAACACCTGGGAAATTACATTTTTATCCTGAGCACTTGCCTTTCAGAAAGGCCATATGGGCAGCGGACAATATTACTTTTGTAGCCAACAAAACATTTAGTATTATATATTGTCTTTTGGTGGAGATCATTTCGTTTTCCATGGAAACATGGCCCTGAGGATAGATCATGGTCACGACGAGACTGAACAAGTAAACCGACATTTCTTTTCGGTCATCCATCTCATACGCAGAGGTGAATTTAAAGAGGACTTTACCCACGCATCCTCAACCCCCAAAGAATCCGCGATTAATTCTAGTACATCTAGCTTCAACCGGATCAGCCTATGGCTTGCCACTATGATTTAATTATCGGCTAGCAATGGATCGGAAAAGGATACTAGACATACTTTATGCACTTTTCCCAATCGAGCAATCTAGACCTTACTTTCCTCCTTCTCAGACTCTTTGGACAACTTGCTGTGACTTTGTCCAGATCGAGACGGTGCTGTTCCCGAACGCCTTCAGCAACCCTTCGCGCCATAGCAGTAACCAAATCTGTCGCTCAGCATCCCAGGGAGCCTTTCAACGGCGAGTTCAGTGAGCTCCTTCGCTGGAATTTTCAGGGTGCAACAGTAGTAGATTGTACTGATCTGATGGATATTATCTGAAGAATTACATTTTTTCAATGATCTACTCCTTCACTTATTCAGATCAACTCCTTTCGCCCTCAAGTCATCCCGACTCGCCACTTCAATATTCGGGATGCCCGATCCTAAACAGGTCAGGTCACGCACAGTGCAAAAGGTGGAAACCGATGGACTAGCGACTAGTCACTACTCTTTGACCTTCAATCTGAAACAAAGTCAGGATACACTGCAGGGCATCCACCCATCAACAAATCCACCTTTTCAGAGCTGTTTGTCGTTGAACTAAACGACATGGCTGGAAGAATCATGGTCTTCCATCGTCTAAACAACGAGCGGGTGGTGCTGATCACTCCCACATCAAGCGAAAAACCTCCGGGCCGAGGAAAGATGAGGTGAGGAATGTACAAGTACCTGATCGATTTCGATATTCTGATCCATTCAAAACGCGCCAAAACTCAAGAGGCGGACACACCAAACATGTCCGCCCAACAGAATGCGGGCCAAACGGCCCAGCTTCGAGTCCGAGGTGCCCAGGGTTGTGTCGCCCAGTGTCGTAAGTACAGTACCACACCGCAGGTCCCAGCGGCCACTGCGATCTTCCACGGCGCCATCAGCTCCATCGGCAACGCCAGTGGTGCGTGCGATGTGCTTTTGGCAAGCAGGAGGTGGCTAATTTGTATCTGTCTGATTGGAAGACAGGTTTTGGTGAACATTTTGGTGGTGTTTCAACATGTTTTAACTGCTCGTCCGGGCCAGTGTCCTTGATGATAAACAGCCTGGATGTGCCCGGATCATCTTGGGAGCAGCGCCAACCCCTGAAAGGAATGCGCAGTAGAAGTAAACAAATCGTCGTAAATTACACAACTTACTAGCTTCCCCGGAGGTAGCGTGAGTTTGATCCTTACTAGAAGTTTCGCTTTAGAGTTTGCATGTGAAGTCCTGCGCCTGCATTTGCCATGTTCAATATCGTTAAGCAAACAGACCAACGATGGCAGTTTCCCCACCGTCTTGCTGGGCTTCCATGTGCCTGCCGTCTCCCGCCCGTCCTCCCGTTCGTCCGCCTGGGACCCGGCTTCCTCCATCACTCCTGTCTGGCCGTTGCACGGTGGGATCCTTCGAGCTGGGCTGCAAACCGCACGGGAAATTGTTCTAATGCCATTCTTGTGCTCATATTTATATGGAGCCGAAGCTACATATTCAGCCACACCTGGGCACATGTTCATTGAAATTTGCTTTGGTGCACCATTGGTTTACAAGCAACGTGCCTCGGTGGATGGGTGAACATGTACATGTGCTAATCACTTGTGTGGCAAGAGTTTGTCAGATGATGTAGGCCATGTTCAACTAACAACCTGCGCGCCGCTACACCCAACTGCTTCTGCTGAGAACTTCCTTGTCTGCGTTGCGCAATCTTCAACCACTGTACGCACTGTCGGAGCTGAGCCTTGGCGCAATTAAGGCAAAATCCCACATCCCTCATCCCTCTGCGTCCTCCATTTCTGATGGCCTTCTTTGGCCTGATTGTACGGGAGCTGCAGCCATGCTAGGGTTTGCCTCGGTAACACGTGGGCAGTCAAGCTTGCTGGACAGGTTGGCAATTGGATCAAGTAGGATCATGCGTGTAGCACAGGTTGGTCAGGTCGAGCGACCGCTTTGGGGTTCGACCTCCCGCCGGACTGGCCTGTGACTTTGAGCTTTTCCTCTCGGATCTGACGCGTTTGGCCGGAACTGACGCGATCAACATTTGCCATCACAGAATTTCGTGGCGATTGGGTCTGGCATACGGCTTTCTTCAAGATGTGGACCCAGTACTGGAAGTGTGGCAAGATTTGCCTTCGATGCAACGCATCTCGAAGGCCGCAACAATGATAGTTTCAATGATGAACCACTGAAGAATGGGAAAACGGGGTCGACTGTATTCACGCAACCTCCATGCAGGTTTGGTCCATTGTTCACTGATTTCAATCGCAGCTGGCAAACAAGGGCAACCTCTGAGTGGATTCAGGATTGCTTGGGAGCACCGCCTAATCCACTGGCGTTTGTTCAAGGAGTTGACGTGGCGATGTTGAGCCTTTCCCAAATGCTTTAGAATCATGTTTGGTCATTTCTCCCAACCGCAACACTTGTTTTGGGTCACACGGTGAACAATGTGATAAAGCACTGTTCACCTTGAAACAAATCAAGGAAATTCTGTTGAGCTGAGGCGATGGGACATCTTTATCAATACGTTCGTTCATGGACCCAGGCAACAAACATGGATAATACCTTGAGGTCTGTTGATGCTCACGCCAAATGGGTTGTAAGATTTTCCCTTCTCCACCATCCATTCCTGCCAAGCTGGAAACTGAGGTGGAGCTGAGTCAAGGACTTCAGCCCATGCTGGTGCAGCGTCCAGGGGAGATGGCTGGTGATTTTGCAAGCCGCAAGCAGCTGTGGAGTGTTGGAATTGCAACAGTGTTCCTTGTTAGTATTAACAGTTTGTGTGTTGGTGGATAAGACAAGGTGATCGAACTATAAACAGGTATAAGACTAAGCAATACTTAGTACAAGGCGTATTGTCAACTCTCACTGATCTAGCTCGTGTAAGGTCTAGCTTTGCTGAATGGCAGTGGCTGACAGAAGAGTATCCTGGTGACAAAGGCTCAAGGCCTTCATGACTTGGGCAAGCTGTGCCTTCACTTCTGCCATCTTGCAGCAGCGCGGCTGCGATGCAGGGGGCGTTGAGATGGCTGGCGCTACCGAAGACGCACCTCCTTCATGACATTTGTGATGATCTCTTGGTGATTTTTCCTAAGCCCGA